TAGCAATTTAAATTTAAATTGAAATCCATTATTATCTTATCTCACCATCTAATACTAATAACTTCTTCTCACCTCTCTACAATTTTCATTTCCAGTTATATTTAAATTTATCTTAGCCTTCACAATTCCCAATTTCGCCGTTACAAATTACACAAGACTTCACATTTTTCATGCTATAATAAATTATTGTAGTAATTGCAAATATATTTTTTTCGGTGAAAATGAGCATATTGATCTTTAAACTATAGATGCATAAGCGTCTCAGATCCACACTTTATGTTTTATATAATGTTTCTCTTTAATTTTTAAAAATAATGATGTATAAAATTTATTATTTATTAAAATTAACTTTGATCATTAGTTAATCAAAAAATAATTTTAAAAATTACAAAAAATGATTATTGTCTATAGTTTTTTTTATTTTTTATTGCAATTTTTAAACCCTTTTATTTTTCAAGGCAGCAATTTAAATTTAAATGCATTATTATTTTATCTCATTGTTTGGCTTATTAGTGCTAATAATTTCTCCTCACCCCTTTACAATTCCCAACTAGATTTAAATTTATCTTAGCCTTTACTGTTTCTAATTTTGCCTTTAAAAAATTAGAACTACAATTTACAATGCAGTGCAGTACATAATGTTTGAGATTGTACTTCATATCATATAGAGTACATCACTATTCCATAGAATCAATCAATTAAACTTCGGAAGTTTCATGCTGTTGCGATATAAATATTACATCTTCTCTTTTTTACGTAAGTCCATTTCAATCAAGAGCCAACCATTTGAAGCATCCACCGGGCAATGTAAGCATACAATTATTAGTTTTTGTTATCTCTTATATTGTAACGAGATTGTTTCAAAGTTATTGACTATAAGATGCATCATCGAAGCAGCCTTACCGTGGCTGAGTTATTTGAAAGCATTTTTTTGTTGTAGCAATTTACTCTCTAAAACAATGAGGCTATCTCTTTGAACATTTATTTTAGCTCATTTTATTCTTTAATATTATGTAGTGTGGAGAAAAGTCATGGTCTTGTGGGTTTGGCTGATGTTGGGATAATTTTTAAAATTAAAAACAAAAAAATGTTGGAGAATCATCTCAAAGTGTTCACAATAGCGAGATAGTTCTTCAATCTCGTTTTCACAATTTAGAATATTACAGTACCTTTACTTTTGGCTTCTCATTGAAGGTTCTGTTTATCTATCCATGGTGCACTTTAAGTGCGATCGGCTTTGCGTTTTTACTCAGGTGAGGAATATTAATTTGGTTTTGGTGGCTTGAATTTATGCATATTAGTGTTGGAAAAAAATGAAATTCAATCTCTTGAATTTAATTATTAAATTAGTATGGGTTGCGGCACGTTATGAAAGTTAAAAAAATAAATCATACTTTGTCGAAGTAAAACAAATTGTACTATCCATAAATCATTAAGAGTGTAGAGAGAGAGAGAGATATCTTTTAGTTTCAGCCATCATAGACTTCTTAAGCCCGCACTCACATAAAAAAATTAAAAAAAAAAACTCTACGAGAGCTTGATTTTGGTTAAATATTATACATGAAGTTTTAACTGAATGTTGATGAACTCAAAATAATGATTCATCATTTTGAAGACAACTATTGTTAAATGTAGCATGTAATTTTTTTTTTTATGATATGGATTTACCAGTTTCCTTAATTAGTCAAATTAAATTACTTTCGTTGAACAAATGCTGTTGTGATTAAATGATTAGTTCCGACAATTAAAAAAAATCAGTTTAAATGATGGAGTTGCTAGTTATTATTATGACCTCATTTTAAAAATGATCAATTATTAGTTTTCTTACTCAAGATCATTAGGAAATATTTTAATATTCATTAATAGAATTTATTGTGATTTAATTAAATTGATTTTTTGACCAACTAATTAGATTTATTTTTCACAAGTTTTTTTTTTTTGAAATTTAACGTCTTCGTGATAAATAATGTTTTAATATAAAATTTGTTATTTCCTGATGCTCGTGCAATGCATTGAATTTACTCCCTCCGTTAAAAAATATAAGATATTTTTAACTAAATTTTTCACCTCAATAAAGTAACTATTTACTTTATAACTAACTCTATCTTTTCATATTTACCTTTATTAAATACTCTATAATAAATATAAATTCATTATCAAATTCATTATCAATAGGGATACTTTTAAAAAAGACAATAATTATAATTTAAAAGATTAAAAATACTTTACATTTTTTAATATTTTTTAATATTTAATTTTTTTAAAAATGTCTTACATTTTTTAATGGATTGAGTACCTATTTTTATCCTCTAATCTTGTGAGTTTAATTTATATTTTCAAATCTTAGTGAGGGAATTTTGATTAGCCAATTTATGCCACAAATCTATTTCATTATCACATTTTAAAGATAAATTTGAACATTAAATTTGTTATCACATTATAAAATTCACTATTATCACATCACATTTTCATGTACTCGTCCGATGGATCAATTAAATTCATTGTCACATTCTCAATCATCAATCTAACCTAAACCTTTTATTATTTTTAATTGTCAATCCTTGTGCTCTTATCTCTTCATTTTCCATCCACCTATAATCTCATCCTCCTACAGAATCTTTACTTTACCTCTCTCAATGCATTCAATTTTTATATTTAAACTTCCAATGCATGAATCTTGAAGCTCCCAATGCCTACTATTATTAATCACCATTCAAATTTTTAAATTTTTTTTCCATTGAGAGAACTCCAAAACAGAGTAGTTGAAGTTTAGTGAATAAAATATTGATTATATTTTGAAACTTTCACCCTATCCAGATGTAAGGAAGGAGGCCTATCACTTCATTCAGGATAGGCTTCCCCCATTTTTTTTTTGGTAATTAGGATTGCAATACTTTAAAGTCTAGAGTTACATTTGCTCACTGGAATGAAATGTATTAAAAAAATAAAGATAAAAATAAAATAATTAAAGGAATAGGTAAACACATTTATAAAGAAACTTGTAATTCAGTTTATGAAGTTGAAATCATGATTCATGAGATTTTTGAAAGGTCCCACATTTGTAGTATATATTAATAAATTTTATCATATTTACTATAGAGAGGAGGGTGATTTAATTTTTTTTATTTTTATTTTTTTAATTCATTTTATTTTATTTTATTCTAGTAACCAAACATGGCTAAGTTTTTTTTTTTTTGTTCTGATCTTGAATATGACCTTTGTTTTTTACATGCAATTCTTTGCCCACGCACTTGATTTCTTATGTACAAATTATTAGAGACAATTGAAGTGAGAGATCACACAATTGATATGAAGAATATTGTAGAGTTACAGGACCCTGTTTTTGGCTTCCCGATGAAGAGCTTCATTTTTTATATTTGATGTTTGACATATCTTTGTGGCATAAATTTACGATTTTATTTCCTATATGTATAAGATCAAAAGAAAAGATCAAATATATTTGTGTGCCACTTTATGTTAATTATAATAGATCAGACCGAATTCAATTTTAGAAATTGCATCACATTTTTAATTTATTTATGAAAATTAAAAGAACTAAAAAATTCAACATAAGTTACCAAGTAAAGGTGAATATAATTTGATGTGTAAAAATAAAATCGAATTTCAATATTAAACAATTTATCTAAGAAATTTATATGTTTAAATATATATTTCTCCCGTTTAAAAATATAAGATATTTTTTAAAGAGTTAAATATTAAAAATGTAAGATATTTTTAATTTTTTGAGATATAATTATTATTATTTTTTAAAATATTTTTATTAATAATAATTTTATATTTATTATAGAATATTTAATAAAAATAAATATAAAAAATATATTATTTTAAAAATAAATAATTATTTTATTAAGGTGAGATTTAATTAAAAATATGAAGAAATTAAGGGACTGTTATTTTGGCCAAACAAGGGACGTGAATCATCCACAAACACGATAAAATTATTGCGGCTAATAATTACGTTTGCTTTATTTCATATCATAGTTCATAGTAAATTGATGTTGACGAACCGGGTTGGAACGGCAATACGGCATGGATGTGACTAATTGTCATTGTCATTTTCCCTAAAAAGTCAAAAGGGGATGAGATCGGTTTAAATGACATTGACCTAAAACGATCCGAATTTATTTCTGTTTTATTATTTATATTTTGCGATTTGAAATTATTCGGTAGAAGGGCAATATCTCTTCCTCCAGCCTTAAAAAAAAAAAGCCAAAAAATCTTGTAAAAAATAGTTTCATCTACTATTTTTAATTTTGAAAATTAAAATTATTCGATTGAAATATCATCATTTTTAATGTTTATAATTGTAATGCCACATATTACATTTTATCACCAAATATTTTTCTTACAAAAATAATATTTTCCTGAATTTTTTAAATTATTTTGCCAAAATTTTATTTATTTAATAGTATTTTAATTTAATTATTTTACATTAATATTTTATTTTTTATATCAGTTATACTCCTTCTGTTAAAAAATTTTATACCTAATAAGATAGTTATTTATTTTTAAACTAATCCCATATTTTTATATTTTATCTTATTAAATACTTTATAATAAATATAAAGTTATTTATTAATTAAAATATTTTTAAAAAATAAAATTATATTTTAAAAAATTAAAAGTATTTTATATTTTTAAAATTTAAATTTTTAAAAAATATTTTACAAAAGAGTATTGATTATCATGATTATAATATGATAATATTAATTTATTTATTGTTTCGTGCAACAACGTAATATTTTTTTTAAAAGATTGTATGTTAAAAATATAAAATATTTTTTTATTTTAAAATATGATTACTATATTTTTTACAGTATTTTTATTAAATAATTATTTTTTATTTATTTTAAAATGATTCACTTCATATAATAAAAAAATATAAAAAATAATATTAATTATTTTTTTAAAGGAAGGTTTGATTAAAAATATTTATATTTTTTAATTTTTTGAAAGAGGGAGTAATGGTATTTCAAGTTTCATCTCTTGCCAAGCTTTCAGCTCATCTTCTCCAACTCTGATTTCGAGTCTGTTTGCGATCACTGCAGGGTTAGTGTTCCAAATCCCTTCATTTCAATCTATCTGAGTTTCTGTTTTCGGTTTCCTGTTCCAGAAGTACTCTAGGCGCCTCCCGTGTTAGGGACGGGAACAGTATGGGAGGTGACGGTGCCGTTGACGACGCGACGGGATCAAAGGGCACTGACGAAGTGAACATCAACATTCGTTGCTCCAATGGGTCTAAGTTTCTGGTTCAGATTAATCTTGAATCCACCGTCAGATCATTCAAGGAAGCTATCGCTCATAAGTGCGATATCCCATCCGATCAACAGCGGCTGATCCATAAAGGTCGAATCTTGAAGGACGATCAAACCCTGCAAAGCTACGGTATAGCCGATATTGTTAGGAAAAACGAAGATATTACGAGTAAATTGATACCTGGATAGATACGGCCTGAACATTGCTTTTATTTTAATCTGCTGATGGGTTTTCGTCCTTGGCCACGGTTTTGTTCCAGATTCTAATGATTCTGTAATATAATTGAGGTTTTTATCTTGATGTAGACAGATTATTAAAATATTAATATGTGCGTGGCATGTCTGAGAAAATGATTCCTCGTTATGCTACATCAGGGTTGTGGATGGATGCTTATTGTCTTTAATGATTCTTAATTAAAGACGGGAAGTTAGAAGTGAAAGAGAAAGGATCCATTTTTTTGCCGAAGAAAGGGTGCCTGCACTTGCGGATGATTGTGAATGTAAAATTTGTAATGCCATGCTGCTATCTTTTTAGTGGAAATATTATTTATTTATATATTTATTCTTATGATGTTTGAATTTTTAACATTTTAAATTAAAGCTGAAATATTATTTATCTCGACTTCTTGGAATCGGACTGATCTCCTTTAACATTTATTTTGGTACTTCAGTATTTAATTTGCACTCTGAAACTTTTACCTTGAATGTTCTCTATAAGATTCTTCAATCATCCACTATTTTTGTCATGCAACCAATTTAGCTAGCTTGAACTTGTTTTTTCTCCTGGTGTGTGTGTGTCAGATGAACAAATTTAACAAAAATTTCTATTTATGCTGGATAGGTTTGGAGGCTGATCGCATTGTTCATCTGGTTCGTGGATTTGCATCTGGTGCAACGACTAATACCACTGGCGGGACCAATGGCACTCCAAATAGTACAAGTGGTCCCAGTGCTAATGAAGGTTGGGGTTTAGGCGCGTCTGGTCTTGGAGCCTCATTATTTCCTGGACAAGGCCTCAATGGGACCAGAGTCAGTGGCATGAATGGCTTGTTTGGATCAGGCCTTTCTAACCCTGAACAAATGCAACAACTAGTTATTTTAAATCCCAATTTGATGAGAGACCTAATGAGCACACCTGCTATGCAGAGTCTGATAAATAATCCTGACACTGTGCGGAATCTTATAATGAGTAATCCGCAGATGCGAGAGATCATGGATCGAAACCCTGAGCTAGCGCACATACTTAATGATCCCAGCACTCTCCGCCAGACTCTTGAAGCTGCAAGAAACCCTGAGATCATGCGTGAAATGATGAGAAATACAGACAGAGCAATGAGCAACATTGAATCTTCACCTGAAGGATTTAACATGCTGAGGCGTATGTATGCAAATGTTCAGGAGCCATTCTTAAATGCCACTATGATGGCAGGTGCTGGAAATGACATCTCTAATCCGTTTGCAGCACTGTCTGGAACTCAAGGTGGCCAAGCCAGCAATCGATCAACTAATTTCTCAAGTACTAGTTCTGAAGCAATTGCTGGTTCCCCCTCTCCCAATACTAGTCCACTCCCTAATCCTTGGACCTCTACTAGAGGTAGGTTTAGGTATCTTGTCACATCCTCTGAATGGTGGCTGAGCACTTCTTTGTTGTCAATTGGTTCAAAATGGTTTCCCTCTCCCTCTCATCTCTCTGTCTGTCCTAAAACTTCTGGCTATATTTTTTAGCTGCTTATGACTAGTACAGTGCTAATTGATAATAAATTATGGCAGCTGGAGGTACCCAAAATAACACGACAAGGTCAACTAGTGGAGGGAATGCTCAGGCACCCACTACCTTGGGACTTGATCTGCCAGAACCTGAAGGTTTGGCGGGTACTGTACTGGATTCCAGTTTGTTCGCCCAGTTAGTGCAGAGTCCAAATATTTCACGAATGATGCAAAGTATCGTTTCCAACCCACAGGCTGTGAATCAGGTATCTACTTCCCATTCTTGATGGCAGATATGTGCACGTGTTGATCTGATCTCTCTTAACACTCAGTTTACTTTTAGATACTTGGTGTCAATGCCGAGCAGTGTGGCATGCCTGATTTAACCCCTCATCTTAGACAAATGATGCAAAACCCAGAGTTCCTTCGCTTGATGTCTTCACCAGAGACATTTCAGGTAGACAATTTTGAGTTTTGCATCTGTTACAAGTTGCACTGTGGTCTTATTCCTACGGTGGTCTTATTATGTGGTCCAATTATCAATTCCAAATTAGCAGATAGCAGTGATATCTGTGTAAACATCTATGGACAATTACAATTTTGAATTTTCACTTGATCAAATCATGGATAAAATGATAATTACTTCCCCCCAAGGCTGTGTTTGTATTCCTATGTGTTTATATGAAAGAAATGATCATTTTATCGGACTTCATAGAACTGGGGGAACAACGGGTCGATAATTAGTCCCCCCCTTGGCTGTGTTTGTATTCCTATGTGTTTAATATGAAATAAATGATCATTTTATCAGACTTCGTTGAATTGGGGGAACAACAGGTCGATAATGATTGGCTAATAGCTCCCTATCTAAGCATATAAAAATGTGACTGTCATTCTGTGCCTTTCTATTTTGAAGGTTTATTTTCAGTAAAAAATCTGATTCTTTGAATTTGATCTATTGTGATGAAGAAGCCATATTGTTTGTCTCATTGGAACCTGTCTATTTTGAAGCTTTATTTTCAGTAAAAAATCTTCTCTCATCTCTATCTATGCCACACTGGCAGCATCTCTTGACTTTTCAGCAAGCGCTTTTGTCTCAGCAAGGTCAGCAACAATCAACACAGTAAGTAATGGCACAGTCCTGACCTTCATATTCTGGCATGGCTTTTTTTGTTTTTAAATATTTTCTAAGAATTTATACAAGATTATTGTAGACTTGATGAAAACCTTGATGTGGCAACTGCCCAAGCCTATTACTGAATTTTGTTTACTCACTTTGCTGTGCCCTGGACCTGGAGTTCGTTGCAGCGAACTTCTTAGTCTAGATGCCTCATCTGACTTTTTTTAGGCATAGATGTGGTGTCACACTGTATGCTTTATCAGTTTCTGTAATTCTCATGTACCATACCGTGTATGGCTCTCTAGTCTCTATTGGCAACCCAACCTTCAAAGAATCATAACTCCACAGAACATTTTTGGCATTGATATAAAGATTATCTTATGATACGCCAGTTGGTGCTGTACTGTTTTCTATCTTGCATGATAGAATCATGTTACTGACCATTCCCATCTTTTTGTTCCTACGTTTTTTTCCTCTTTGATTGCTTTTCAAGAAAGCTATTCATTATCAGTTGCACTTTTGGTGCTTATGGTTATCAGATTTTACACTTGAAAGTCAGGATTTTAGATTTTTGTCTGGTGGGATTTTTCAGGATTTTTTTTCCTCCCATTTTCTTTCTTTCTTTTGTTTTTTGTTTTTTGAATGGAGCTAATATACGGCAATTCATATATGAGAATAGACATGTATGCATGCAGATTAATGTGTTGGTGTAGCATGCATATGAACGTGTCCTTTTGAATCTATCTTTTCAAAGGGAATTAGCAATGTTTGAGAAATCTGGCTAGTTTCGAACGTCTACAATCGCTTTAAATTGGTAGGACTGTTGGCTCTGTGAAACAACTGTTATTGCTTTTGAACCAAGTGGCAACATCTGCATTCTTCTAAAGTTCTCTTCAATGTGAATGTTGGACGGTGACTCAATTGTGCCTAAGATCTGAATCTTTATGATGTGGTTGGTTTATTAGATGAGTTGGATGCTGGCTTGTTGGCTGCCTTTAGTGTTTATGATCCTGCCTAAGTTCTCTTCTTGATTTTCTATTAATATGTCATACACTTTCAGGGAATCAGGTCAAACTGGCAGAGGTACCGGCGTGCAAGCCACTCTGAATTCTCGTACGTTCATAGAAGCTATTTACTGTTTATCTGATTGAGATGTGTTTTTGAATGACTTTGCCTTGTCAAATCTAATTGCTTGATCAATTCCTAGGATCTTCCATCCATATTTATAATTTTGTGAAATCAGTTGAATATATTACTGACCCGTTTTAGCCTTTTTAAAATAACACCTGTATGATGCAAGTACTGTTTGGTTTCTAGCAGAAAGCATAAGAATTTCTTCCTAATTACTATCAAAATGCATTTATTAGCGGCAGGGGGAATGAACAGCCTGTGGTTGGAGACGTTGTCAAACGTGTTTGGTGGACTTGGAACTGGTAGCCTACCTGTTCCAAACAGATCTCATGGTTAGCATTGCTGTCTTCTAATTTTATACTTCTCTTTGTAGATTGGGTTGCTCTCTCACCGACTTGTCTGTCTCGTCAGAGCCACCAGAGCAATTGTATGCAGCCCAGCTTTCGCAACTCCAGGAAATGGGTTTCTCTGATACGCAGGAAAACATAAGGGCCCTTATTGCCACTTCAGGCAATGTTCATGCAGCGATTGAACGGCTTTTGGGGAACTCAGGCCAGTAGCAGATATGTCATACAAGTTGCGTTTCATGGACTGCTGAGAGTGGCCACTATTGGGCATAAACAAACGACAAATCTATCCAAATTGTAATGGTCAGAGCTGAGACGTTGGTGTAGGTTCTGGACTGCAATCTGTCCTCGGTCCTCCCACCTTGATGAGGCCCTATTTTCTTAATGTACATACTTATATTCAAAGTGTCACAGGTTTTATCAATTCTCTCAGTTAAACTCATCAAATTTAATTAGAGTTTTTCTTTTCTTTTTCTACCCCTCAATGTTTGAAGTACTCCGTGATGTTGCGTGCGAGTTTGATGTCCAATTCTCAAGGGGGAAGAGGGGAGGGCAATATAGTAAGAATTGATAATACGTTAAAACATGGTTGACAATGCGAGAATATAACAACAATAATGAGTTCTATTTTATTAAGTGGGATTGACTAAATGGATTGTAAGATATCATCATATTTTGTCAACTGACAATACAAAATTACTGTCAAGGAATACAAAATAAAAAAAAACTATTAAATAGATAAATATAAAAATAAATTATATTGTTCGTTATATTAATTAACAATTAACGGTGCTGCTGAAGCTGCAAGAAAAGCCGACAAAGAAAGTTTGCTTTGTCTGCGCTGATGGCTTAATGCAGAGGTCCCATTTGGGTTAGATTTGTGGGCTCAACGTTTTTGTCCAAGTTATAAGCTGATTTATTTTCTAGTTTATTTCACATGAACTAGGATTAGTTTTGTACAATGGCAATGTTTATTTTGAATTAGGCTTTAATCTGCTTTTGTTAAAAAAAAAATTCGACTGATTTGAGCCTCCCAAATATTTCGAAAAATGGTGAAATAACATTTCTAAAACAAAAAATATGCTTATATTTACATCGAATGAATAAATTATTACCTGCTAATAAAAAAAAAAAGATAATATATATTATATTTGAGATATGATAGGACATTCTAAATGTTATCTTAGTCTTGTCCGAAACCTTTTTGTCCCATCTCTTTTTTGGTGGATCAAGATTACTTTGTTTTGACATTATCTGTATGAAATTGAGCTAAACGGGATCGGAACAAGTATAAAAACCCTTAATTTTAACACATCATATTTCCAAGTTTGAAATTTTTTTTAGTTTACATCATCCTAAATTTTGCATGTATTTTTCTCTATTATTCTAAAAATGAGATCTAATAATAAAAATTAGATCTAATAAGTATCTCATGGAAAATTAATAATAAATAATAATATATGAAAATGGTCATCCTTGGAGAGTAGCTGCAACATAGTTAGCTCCGTATCTTTCATTAAATCTCACCCTAAAATTAAAAATATAATTATATTTAATTTAAATATATAAATGTTATGATTATTCATATATAATAATTAAATAAAATTATTTATTCTTCGAATAAAACTTTGAAATAATGGAATTTCATTCATTCCACTCCACTTCATGCTATATCAGACTTACCATAACTTTCAATTAACTACAGAGAGCAGCGAGGGTTGCAGCAAGCCATCGTGCCACGGTGAATTAAATATAATTAATTTAATTCACGGTGACCGTGGATGTAGCTGTGAGGAGCAGCGATAAAGATGGGACAGATACATGGAGGGGAAGGGGTGTTTTGGGTATAATATTTTTTTTGGCCTCTTGCAAACAGTTATCACCATTGATATCTTATCAAAATGAGAACGATGATTAGTGACGTAAACTTGATTATATGAGAAATGTAATCATATAATCATTTCCCTTTAATTTATAAGATAATTTTAGATAAAATTTAACATGCTAATAAAATTCATTAAATATATTTTACAAATATATCATTTTAAATAAAAATATAAATTTTTTAAAATACACCTCATTTAATAATTTTAAAAAGAGAAGTTGGTAAAAAAAAAATTTAAGGCGAGAGAATATGATCCATTAAAAAATGTAAGATATTTTTTAATGAGTTAGATGTTAAAAAATATAATTTTTTTAGTATTTTAAGGTAAAATTAATATTCTTTTTTAAAAATTATATTAATAAATAAATTACTTTATATTTATTTTTTAGTGAAACGACTTATTATATGAAGCAAAATATGAAAATATGGTATTAATTTGAAAATAGTTAACCAATTTATTGAAGTTGAAATTGAGTTAAAAATACCTTATACTTTTTCATGAAAAAGAAATAAGAAGTGAAGGGTAATATTAAAAAAAATATATTTAATAAATTCTTATTTTTACCAAATTCTTTTGTAAATTAAGATGCATGGGGAAGTAGGAACAGTATGAAATGGATATTAAGATGCAGGGAATCAAATGAAAGGGGCCATTAGATTCCCATCATCATCTTTTAGAGCCAAACTATTCGATGGCCCAAAAAAAGAAAAAAAAGAACCTATTCAAGTATTACGTGGTCTTTGCTGTCCGTTTTATGTTTTAATTTGTTGGACATTGTCATGAGTGCCAATAAACCTTCGCAAGCTCACCAGGAATCAGTTTACGAGTGTCGGATAATCGTCGCGGGCGCCAAAATTAATAACTAAGACTCTAAATAATATTTTGATATAATTTTAGGTTTAACAGCCCATATTTACTTAATTGTTTTGATTTCCAGTATAATTTTAGATTAAAAGTTATTGACTTGTTTTTGTTTCCTACCTTTTTTTTGTTTGTTCCCGCATTCCACGTCTTTTATCCAAATTAATTCGATTAGAAATTTGCGGATATTTTTTTAGGTATACTTTTTAACAAGAATTTAATTGCTGGTCTGTATTTAGGACTTACTTTTAATTTTAATTTTGTTATTGTGTAGTCATGCTTTTGTAACTTTTGACACGGCTATCATCGCTTTTTTTTTTTTTTTGGGTGAAAATCATGTTTTGATTCAAATCAACGGATTTGCAAACATATATTAAGCTTTTCTTGCTAAACAAGGTTCAAATGCTGACATGAAGTTATCATCTCGCACATATATATCATCAATTTGTTACACGTCAACATCGTTATTGATACTGTTGAGCATGGAAGCATTTGGAGGATTGTCTTGTTAATAGTTAAAAGGATTGGATTAAAAATTTAGACGTGTTTGTAAATTTTAAAATTACATGTATAGTCCAATACAAAAATTGATGTAAACTTATAAGGGTCAACGGATTAATTTTCTCTTTTCAGGAAGTCAAGTTACCACAACTTGTCTAGTTTTAAGAAATTTTTTGGGAGGATATCTAAAATTATAAATTTCAAAAGAATTACGTGAAAGCCTGATAATAATAATTTTGATATTAGAAGATAATTAAGATATTTCGACTAAAATGTTTTTATATATTTTTCATGGATGCAATATTTTTTCCAAGACCTGTAATAATTTGTTCAATTTTTTCATATTCATTGCACCAGAGTTGACTAGAAAACTGTACATGTCCACCGTCAACCGAGATCTTCAATAAAGATATTAGAAGCACTATAATTAAGTTTATATTGTTCAAACAAAATATCCGTTCAGACTTCAGTATTATAAAATACATTAATTAAATTACGTTTTTTAATGAGTTAATTAAAGATCTTTAAAATTACACACTCTTTTCATATTTATGCTTATTAATTACACCCTATGATTAAAAGCATTTTGGAGAAAGTCTTGAAAGATCCAAAATATCTCATATTTTTTAACACAATATTTTTTAAAAAATGTCTTATAATATTAAAGGGAGGGAGTAACATTAATAGATTTTCATGCATAAATTGTAAGGAATAAAAGTATTTTTAGAAGTTTATAGGAAGGGTAATATTAAAAAAATATATTTTCTCTGTTAAAAAATATAAAAAAAATATAAAGTATTTTTTAAGAGATTGAATGTTAAAAAATATAAGGTATTTTTAGTCTTTTATTTTATATTTATTTTAGGGTAAAACACCTTATCAAATATGAGGTAAATATAAAAAAAATAGAATTAGTTTGAAAATAAATAACTACTTTATTAAGGGGTGAGATTTGATTAAAAATGTTTTATATTTTTAAATGATGGAGTAATTAATAAAATATTATTTTTATCAAAATGTTATATGTTTTGACACTGAAAGAATATTGGAATGCTTTGAACTTTGGGTAGCACTCGGAATTTAGCCACACCCTTAGCCTTTGGCCGAAAAGATAACGCCATCCTCTGCCATATCAACTTGCTTAAAATGAGACCCGTGTTTTTTTTTTAAATGAAATTTTTATAAAGTAATAAGTATATTATATGAAACTTGATTATTTTATCGAGGACAACCGTTATACAGCTGCCCTTTAATTTCTGCCCGTTATTAAATATTTTATATTCAAATTATTTCTTTAAATAACCATACAGCTCATTTTAAGAAATTCCTTAGAAATTAAATATATCCTTATATGGTTATATGTTATATTTCAGTACATCAAGACAAGAATATTAAAATTCTGTGTTATTTGAGAAAAAAAATTAAATTATGAATGAAGAGAAAAGATGAAAGAATACAATAATTTTTCTAATTATAATATTTATTATTTTTGGAATCGGAACAGAATCACAGAGGTAGGCTCCACTCTAATGAAATATTGATCTAACTCCGAAGCACTTCTAAAGCCAACTTTTTAAAATTGATAAAAAAATCAGTAAAAATTATATACATTATTCTTACGTACGTACGTACCTACTTACATATGCATACGTATAAATTATGATGTTGACTTGTGCGTTGTATGTTAGAGATGGATTAGATGTTAACTATAACTTGTTTATGATTTGATTATGTTAAAACTTTGGCTATAGCCATACTAACCTTGGATTTGTGTGAATGATGGGTTTAGAAGACTTAGGTTATATCCTGTAACTCTATGATTAGAGTTGTATAATGGTTTCAAGCTTGAAACTAATGTGATATAATGTGAAAAATTATGTAGATTGCACTGGTGAAGAGTGTGATGGAAGAAGTATTGTAAAGGGAAATTTATTGTCAAAGTCACAAGATAACCTTTATTAATTTGCCATTGTGTGTGCTTTGTGATTAGTTGTATGTATTTTTTATGAAAAGAATTGTTGTTTGGAAAAAATATTGTGATTTGAAATGAAAAATAATTGTTTAGAAATAGTATTACTAGTGGGATGACATTATACATGATTTTGTTTAGTATGATAAAACAATTGTTTAGAAACATGATTTATTGTTTGGAACTATGTTTAGGGAACTTGTATGGATGACTTGTTTGGATTTGAAAAGATGTTTAGAGATTTTATTGATTAAAAATTGTTTGCATGATGCCATGCCACATGATACATCCTCATTTTATCAAGGAGTGGCTTGTCAGGCTTTGGCTAGTTTACCTTTGGCAGGTAAATTTTTACCAAGTGTGGACTTTAGTCCAAATAAGTGAGGAAATAAGATTGGTGGTCATGCATTTTGTTTGATTTGTTTAGAATTATTTGGAAATTAAATTGTTTTGTATGTCTTACTTAACAATTACATGATTAGTTACATTGTATACATTATAACATCTCAGTGTCGATTGTTGGAAACTTTGTATTTCATTTTTTGTGATTAATATTTTTACAAAAAAAAAGTCCAACTGAAGAAGTATCGGAAGTATAGTTGTGGTATGTGAGACACCACTTTATTTTGTTAGGCCTCTCTATATTTGTTAATGTATATTTTGCCAACCCAATACTTATTTTCTATAATTTGAGCACATGACTCATTGTTTTTGACCTGCGTTAGTTGACTATTGTAGTCATGAGATGAATTTTTGAACACTCATAGACTGATTTCATCAGTGTATTTAATATATCTTTAGAGAGATGAAATGATACATGATGTGAAGTCTTTCTATAAATTGTATATGTGGTTGTAACCTAATTGATAGTTTTAAGTTATATATTATATATGTGATGTGTGGTCAAATGATTCTCACCCTAAATATTTAGCTTTGATTGTGAGTTGTGAAATACTTGGAAAATGTTTTGATGACCCAAGATTATGGTTATTTGGGGTTAAAATCTTCTTATGGAAGTATTGTTGTATTACCATAACCAAAACAAATAGTTAGATTTTGTTGTTAGGGTGGACACTTAAATTATTCAGTTTGGATATTTGTGGGAAAAAGATACGATATCTTGGACTAATTTACCCCTGAGAACTTTGTTTTGATATTATTTATAATTTATCAAAATATCTTAGATTTCAAATCTATGTTTTGAAATGGGATTATTGATGGACTTTTATGATTCAATAAACTTTAATTTATCATGATAGGCTTTATCTTTTAAGTTTACTTGTTTTTACTATGGTAGATTCTTATCTACCATAATATATAGTCGGTTTAGAAACTGTTTGATTTAATTAAACAAAAATTCCTTTCTACCATTACGATGAAGCATGTTATAGTTAGATTGTCTCTTTTTATCATGGTAGTGTTTTTAAAATATAATTTTTATTCTTTCTATCATAGTAGACATTTTTTTTACTATAATAAGTATTTTAAAAAGATAAGTTTTGTTTTAATTGTCATGGTAGACATTTAACCACAGTTAAATAATTACATTTGAAAAAGTAGTGTTACATATATAGCCCAACTGTCATTTATTTATTTTTTTAAATTACTCTCACTCTCTCAGTCTCGGACTCTCGGCGTCCTGTATTCTCTACATTGTTCCCAAAACCTAACTCAGATGAAGACAAGTACTTGCTTTCTCTCGTAACAAGTGGAAGCCTCAGATATCGGGATCGAGGGCAAGCTAACGCTTGTCAATTGTACAGATGGAGAAACTTTTCAGGGTGCTTATTCTTTTAACTTACGGCAATGTTTCAGTAGAACAGATACATGTACCCACGGGGCAATGCGTTTGACTTTTTTTTTTCCTCTACCTGGAAATTTTTTCCCTCCCTTTAATTTCATGACAGGTTAGCTTTGTCTGGCATTACCACACTAATTGTATTATTGTTATGAGTTAATCCTGGCATGATTTTAACTGCGCAACAGGTTTTGTAAATTTATATGTTCCCCGTGTTTTTTTTTTTTTGTTGATCTGATTCCTCGGGTATTCTTGTTGCTATAGTATACCTTATTATTTGCATTGTCCCAGGTTAATTGGTGGTAATACAACTTACAAAGACTGGAATTTACTGTACTCTTGTTCGTAGGTTAATATTTATATAATTAACAATAACAATAGGAGACGTTCTCCGACTGCGCGCTCATGATATAAATATATATAAAATTATAATCGATATGATTGTCCATATTTTGGTCTTGATCTTTAACTTTAAAGGCTATATGTATGTACTGTGCAATAATATGATCTATATATGTATAGAAATAAAATGTAAGTGTAAGAATCTATCATGGCATTTAATATTCTACAAATTAAAAATAATTATCTATAGGATTTCATAACTAAGACTATTATAAGATAGCTTCGTAATAAAAAAAATCATAAATAAATATATCAGAATTGAATATCTCTCGATTTTTAACATGCCTGATATAATTCAACATAACTTGAAATTTTGTGCAAAATATATATATGCTAGGCTAGTAGGCACTCTTAATTGAAGAGAGAAAGGAATTTTATGCATGCATGTGTGTGTGGCTAGCTAATTTTAGATGGAGACAATAATTTGTAATAACAGGTTTAAAGATGTAGATCGAGATACAGCGTACTGCGTACGTTTAGACAAAGCAAGATTATTGTCCTTTTACACTACGTACGTATTTTGTTTACTTTGGTAACTTGCCATGTCAATTCCTTCAATTCATGTGAGACTCTATTCCTGGTGATTTTGCAGTGCCAGGGTTGGATAACGTTGGGCTGATTTGAATTATACTATGGCCAGGCAGCAACCATAACTAACACGAAATCTATACCAAAATCATCGTAAAATCGCTTTTTAGATTCTATTTTCTTATTTACTCTAATTTATTTAGCATGCATGTCACAGTTTAGGCCTTAATTAGGGCACAATTGATTGAATTAAATATAACGACCTAACTTATATATATTGGCCTGCATATATGCAATTAGAAGAATGAATTCCTGCACATCAACTCCCAAATAATGAGAACAAAATTGAATGCTGCAGCAAAGTGACTTGCAAAAAACAATACATTAATAAATCCAGAGTTTAAGCACAAAAAGGAAGAGACTACTTTGGACAGCAATGAGTAAATTGCTCAGAATATTGGTAACCTATATATGCTTTTTACTTCAAACATTCCGAACCAATTGAGGGTTTTGTGCGAAAAATATGATGGCCATCAGCATAGGCGGTGCTACATTATAACCAAGGGAGGCAAATGCGCCCCTTGAATTTAGAAAAAATTATAGAAAATATTTATGTATTTTACTATTTTGCACTCTTTGGCATAAATATTTTACACTCGTTAACTCAATTTTAAAGATTTTGAGTTCAATATTTTTTTGATTATTTTTTGATCATTAATTTTAAAAATGTTGCACCCCATAATTTAAGATCCTGGCACTGCTACTAATGATTTATCAGTAAATATAAAAAAATATACATGTAAAGAAAAAATGCGGATTATGATATAAGAAAAACATTTTTGCGGCTTGAAATTTGAAAATGGACCTGAGGAGCCATCTTGATATTAAGATTTGACCCATTTAAACACCCTGCAGTCTTTTAAATTTCAAATAAAATATAAATTATCTCCAAGAGAACTCGTCTGCTCTTATTTGCGTAAAGTAATTATAATTTTCCGCTTTCCTAAAAGAATTTCCAAAATACTCACTTTTTCATTCAAGAATAAAAGAAAAAACAGGGAAACATGAAAAAACAAAGTCACGAGATTGCCACGACCATAAACTTCGCAGCTCTATACGTAGTGAAAACATAATTTACCACGCTCATTCTCATACGTATTGGAACTCAAATTTTTCAGAAGTGGTTTGCTATCAAGAAATTGTTTACATAATTGAATACCGGAAAATCTAGAGTTTAAGAAGATATATATGCATAAATATATATGACCAATTTTTCAATAATGTTTGGATTGATAGATTTAGATTATTTGAATTTTAAATATAAAATATGTCACATTTAAAACTCATGTATTTAAAATTATTTATGTTTGATCGGTTTAAAAATTTTGAAATAAAAAAAAGAAATGAATTGATATTCAAAACAAAAATTAAAAATGATGAATTTATTTTTATTTTTAATCGATGAAAGATGAGAAAATTTACTAAAGTCTTAAAAGTATCAATAATAAAAATACGAAAAGAATTTAAGGTAATTATAATTTCAAATGACTAAGTTATAAAAAAAAATTGCAAATACAAACAAAATTGTAATAATCTCATAATTTTTTTTATATTAAAACGAGTAATTTGATTCAAATTCAAATTAATCCAAAACACTATTAAAGTTACACTAGTTCGTTAAGAGTTGAAACAATCATCTAGAAAAATTTCAACACACACAGTAGCGCGTACTTGAAAGCAAGATAATTAAAAATATATTGGGCAAATCAATTGTGCCGATGGCACGCTCCCACAAATAGACGATTTGAATCCTCTCGTGCGGTCGGATAGAATTTGTACGACAGAAAGCAATCGAGAAGAAGGTGAACCTCATACCTTAATTATTGATACGAAAGCTCACGTGCCATTTTTCTGTGTTTCTCTCCACTGCAACATATTTTATGATCAGTCGGGTGACAACCCTTAGGAAGATTTATTTTCTACTGAAACAAATTAAATTAAAGTGTCCGTAGACGACGAGAAGAAACAGATACAACGATCAAGGAAGCAATTTTACAGATGGAAGTTTACCCGAACAACAAATGTTAACAAAGAAAGACACACACACACACACACACACCCCACGCAATAACAATACAAGATTTTAGCGGTAAATATTAGGGCTTGTGTGGATCATCATCTTCTTCAGAAGGAGGAAGTTGGTTAAGGTCAAAGCCAACTTTCTTTTGCTCTTCATTTCTCAGAACTAAGGCGGAAGAAGAAGAGTCATGTGCTTCGCTTCTCTCTGCAGCCTCAGAATTCGACTCCTCCTCCACTTCTTCCATCATCGGCTGATTCAGATCAAATCCAACCCCTCTGGTACCACTCGCCGATGATGCTCGCTTGATCTCCCCACCACCTTGTTCCACACCTCTATTGATATTGTCTCCTGCAACTCCACACACACAATCATCATAAAAAATCCCACGTGAATATTTTCTTAGTCTTGCCTTCTACTTCAATATTATATATATATATATAGAGAGAGAGAGAGAGAGAGCGCATATATGGACACTCAGTGAAGTTGACCTCTCTAGGAGAATTTGTAGAGTGACAAGTAATTTAAGATATTTTCTGCCGATAAGCGAGAATCTGGAACATTTCTAGTGATCGAAACAGTGAATATCCTGAGACGTATTGGTGTTCTAGGGTTAGGGTTTTCATTTTACCTAGACGAACGCGTTGCCTTGTTGGCGACGAAGATGACGATGAAGTAGGAGGTTTGAAGAAACCTCGATAATCGCGATCAGGGTGTGCCCTCATGTGCCCAAACGCAGCTTTCCAACTGGGAAACTCTTTCCCGCACTCGTTGCATTTCGGTGGCCACGGCGGAGGATCTGACAGTTGAGACGCCTTCCGCTTCTGCTTGCCCTGTTTCTCCGCCGCCGCCGCCACTCCACCCTCCACACTAACCAGCGCCTCAGACGACCCAGCAGCAGCGCCCGCCGGAGATCCATCACCACCAAGAGTAGGATCCACCACTTGCTGGGCTATTCTCGCGTCGGAGCTGGCATCACCTCCCATCCTACTTCCTCCTTCTTCGGTGCCGGTGAAATCACCGGCGACAGTTCGGATGGGATCAGCAGTAACAGGAGGAGGAGGCTGATCAGGGTGAGAGGAAGGAGATTTACTGGTGGAATCTTTTGAAGGTTTTTGCATTGGCTAGTGTTTTAGAAAGAAGCAAAAACAAAAGCCTTAACCGTTGAAGCGAAAGCAAGGATATAGCAAAGAGACGAGAATTTGGGATTGTGTTATTTGATGGAAACGAGGTTATCTATTTATTACAGTGCAGTGAATAGGAGCAAAATGTGGATGGACTCTGCATTGTTTCCACAACCTTGTGATTGAGTAGTGACGAGTTGCGAAGTGGTACAACGTTTCAGAAATATGATTTTCCCTTTGGTCATGGTATATATGGATCGACGGGATTCATTTGTCATGTCAAGCGTGCGTAAGCACGTGCGAGTTGTCACCTTCATTTGAGTATTCCAGAACAGGGCTGGATCGATTAATTATCCGCTGGATTTCTCTCTCTTCACATGTTACCGTGTAAGTATGATTATTGAATCCAAATCATTATATATTTTACCAAGAGAGAGGCAATATATAAGGGATGCAATTACAATGGGGATAAATGAAAAGATATATACAGTTTTAAAAGTTTTTTCAATCAAATTAACATGTTTGCAATCAACTTTATTATTAAAAGAGTTCGATAATGAGCTATCATGAAAGTCATAGTATAATACTCCTTTTATTTAAAAATGTAAGATATTTTTTGAAAAATTAGATGTTAAAAAATATAAAGTATTTTTAATTTTTAGATGTGTAATAATTATCTTTTTTTTTAAATGCCCCTATTGATAATGACTTCATATTTATTGTAGAGTGTTTAATAAAAATAAATATGAAAAGATAGGGTTAGTTGAAAAGTAGATAACTATTTTATTAAAAGGTGAGATTCAGTTAAAAATGTTTTATATTTTTTAACGGAAGGAGTATACATTTGTTCTCTCTCTCTATGTATTGGTTTAAATTGTTCTCTTTACTGTGGGTATCGTTTCACAGCGTATCCTCCACACTCCCATTACCAAGTGTGAAGTAAGAATTATACATTTAAAACTTTCCAATTATTGCTTAACTGGTAGGAAATAGATGTGATGTGAACAGAACCAAATCCACGACCGCCGAACTACTGGGGTGCCAAGTTTTTGGAGAATAATATATAGTTATTTCGAGCCTTTTTTAACATTTATCATGATTAATATTTTAAAAATAAATCTATAGCTTTAAACAAATTTAGATAATAGTTTTTATAATTATCTAATATTTTTTACAAAAATTAAATATTTAATTTGACTTCTAAGAAAGAATTATAAAAATTTACCAAAGGTTTAGTATGAACGCTCAGTTTTTGTATTAATTTCTAACATTCTTCCAAATAATTTAACTAAACTAAAAAAAGAGTAATACGTATGATGTAAATATTTGCTGTACTTTTTTAATAAACAATATGTTAATATAAATCAAAAACAAATATTCTGGTAAACTAATAAATCAATATGTAATATTATACATATACACGTATATGTGTATTAATTTTTAAAAGGTTTTTTTTTTGCAACCACATCAAAAGGATTTAAATGTACCGCAACTCCATCTCACCTTATGGTTTTTTTAAAACATCTCCTTATATTTAATTCTATACTAGACTGGATCCTGTGGGTTGGTTTTATTTAACAAAATTGTAAGAAGTAATATAAAAAATACTATTTACAAGATTTCAATTTAAATAAAAATGTTGTCTTATTAGACAAAATGAAAATTTGTTCACACACAAACACATTCAATTTCAAGGTTTTAAAAATGAAGGCAAAAGTATGCCTTTAATTCTTTAATTTTACATAAGATTTCATTTTGATCCCCTAATTGTATAAAATATAATTTCAATCATTTAATTCTAATATTGTTAATTTCATCACAAAAAAACACATTTAACCCTAGCTTTTAAATACTAATAAAACATTCTCAAATGTTAATGTATTAATTAATTTTATTTTTTTAAATAATAATGATTAACACAAAAGGTAGTCATTTGAAACTATCAGCATTAATGTTAAAAGACTGAAAATATATTATATAAATTAAGAGATCAAATAGAAAACTTCTACAAAATTAAAGGATAAAAAATGTACTTTAGCATGAACGTTATTTAAAAAAAAAAAATTGAACACATTTTGTTAAAGAATAATAGATTTTTTGGTCACCACTCATGTTACAATGTGGAAGAAATATTTCATTTAATGTTGGGAAAAAATACTAAAAAAATGGTAAGAATGTCTTGTAATTGGGTTAGTGAAAGATACTTTATTGAAACAATATTATTAAAATATATAGATAAAAAAAAAAAGGGAGGTCACTCTAGAGTAGACTGTTAAATGACCAAAAACAGACAAAATCCCAAAGAGATGAGTGTGTTAATAAAGGTCCTATAAAATTATATTGTAGAATGACCATAAGAAGACATTCATGACAATATCTTCTTGTAAGTTGCATCCTCTCGATCCTTTGACCCATCCATTGATTTTCCTAAAGGCAAAGGATCAAACATGGCAAAATGGCGGACCTGCAGTACAAGGGTGGACAAATGCCCCCACTCCTTTGAAGAAAATTACATTTTAGTGTAAGAAAATTGTACATTTTGCCCTCACAAAATTTAAAATTTTGAACCCACTAAAATACCTAAAATTTAAATATAGTTTTATATTTTGAATACAGGAGTATAAATATAATTAATTAGCTGACCAATTTTATTTAACTTAATCTTAAAGTTAAACATATTGTATTTACATAATAAATTTTCAAACTTTCTTGTAATTTTTTTAATAAAAATGCCCCCATTAACCAAAGGTCTTTAATTTGATCCGCCATGGAACTTTGTTGAGCCAAGGTTGTTAGTAATCTCGTCTTTTATAAGGTGTCTCTTGTGTAATAGAACCAATCAAGAAAACCATTAATTCATGATTATCAAAGGACAATAATTATGGCACTTCCTCGAAAAATTATTCACACTAATTGTGTGATATACAAGTTTCTGATAATTATCCTCAACATGTTATTCATTTCTCTCCTTTTATTGATTGGATAGAAAAATGGATGGGAGTGACCTTGTTTGGAAAATTTAGAATGGAGGGGAAGGGCCTGCTCCTCCCTTTCCTTGCTTCTAATATAAAATCCTTTCCTTCTCTCCTCCTCCTCTACCCTTCAACAGAAACGTAAATTTTTGTAGCTTCGCATCCACCAACACTGAGAAACCATACACGAAAGAAGAAAAATCAACTTCCATATTAGAAGTATAAAAAACCATACGACTCCCTAATTAAGCAAATATTTTGAGAATAAAAATACCCTTACCCCTATATTATTTAATTTTAAACATAATAATAACAATATTCCTGACAAGACAAACGTCCGGGCCCAAATTTGTTTCGACCCTCAGGCACGAAGTCAACGAAGAAATCCTCACACACTTATTACAACCTACGTGTTAATTGCTGCAGGTCATAGAAAATGGACAAACATTAACAAGCATTAATGTCATTGATGTTGCTCCTAATTATTCATCCCCTTGCTTTCCAAAACTTTTAATTTGCAAACCTTACCAACCCCCACATTTACAGACCTCCGAGACCTTCATTTTTCCTCCAGCTTCCTTTCTTTTCTCTCCTTTTCTCAGAAACCATGCAAAACCTCTCTGCAGATTCCACCTCCAAGGCCTCCTCGCCTAAACCCACTCCCACTGATCGCAAGTCCGAAACCACCACCACATCCAGGGGGAGAGGAAGGCCGGCCAGTGAAAACGTCAGAATTCCCTGGCAAGTATTGGAACTCGCCGGCGCCGGCGCCGGAGGTGGTGGCAGCGGCAGCGGTGGTTCAATGGGTGAGGTGAAGAAACCAGAGAATCCGAATCGAAGTGAAGAATCAAAAAGGTTGGTTAGTCATAAGCGAAAGCTTTCTGAGACCGCAGACCATTCTCCTTCGCTCCCACCACAACCTGTTTCTGCTGCACAACAAGAAGCTCCAGATGAGCCGCCTGCTTCTGGTATGAGAATAACAAAGCAGCTCCTATAATACTTAATTATTCTCTCTAATGAAGCACAATTCCTTTCGAAAATTGTCATAAAATCTATATTTTTCAGACATAAGTTGCATCATTTTAATTAGATCATGTGTATTGTCGCATGTTACAGTATTCTTGCTGGTATTCATGTTCTCTAATTGTTTTCGTGTGCATTTCCAGCCTTCAAAGCAGTTTATCAATGGGTTATTTTTCTAACGTTTTTGTTTTGTCTGAGTAAAATAATTACGAGTCTGATGGAATTTCCTGAGTCACCTTGGTAAAAGTGACGAGAGAGAAAAACTGTGAAGGGGCTGAAAATTGACAGTACTGAGTCATCTATAGAGGAATGGCATTGTTATACTAATGATGGAGAGTGAGAGATGCAGGTGATGATGCTGCTGGGACGAACTCTTCTGATGTAGCTGCACCAGAAAATGCTAAAATGAAGCCTTCTTATGTTGCTATTCCTGAGGAGGAGGAGGAAGCTGTGGAGTCTTTTGAAGAATCTGCTAAAGAAAAAAATAAAGAGAAGCCTTCTGCTGATGCTGATGTTGGTGAGAATAAGGTTGAAAATGATTTGGAGCCTTTTGAAGCTGCTGAAAAAAAGAATGAAGATGACCCTTCTGATGATGATAAGGAAAACAAAGAAATGGAGTCTTTTGAAGCCGCTGAAGAAAAGAATACTAATGAAGAGGAGCCTTCTGCTGATGATGCTGCTGGTACTAACGAGGACGACAGAAAAGACAAGGCGGCTTTTGAAACTGTTGAAGAAAAGAATAATGAAGAAGAGCCTTCTGATTCTATTGCTGCTGACAAGGAGTCCTTTGAAACTGCTGAAGAAAAACATGAAGAGAAGCCTCATGGTGTTGTTGGAGATGAGAAACGTGTAATGGAGTCTTCTAATGATGCTGCAGAGAAAAATGATAATAATGGTGATGGCCGTATCAAGTTTCTGTTTGACCTCAACGAGCTTCCTTCTGTTGAAGACGAAGACATGCCTTAAGCTTGTAACTTTGGCGTGTTCTTGATTAATATTCTTGATGGTCAAAATTAGGCATTATATTGCTCAAGCCTTTTCCATATATGCTAGTTTAATTTAGTTGTTCTCAACTTTTATTCCTGAGGGCCATAATTTATAGTATTTCTCATGCCTTTTCGATATATCTAGTTCAGTTGTTCTCGACTAATATTCCTGATAGATATAATTTAGTATTACTCAAGCCCTTTGGATCTGTGCAATCTAGTTATATTTGATATCCCAGCAGCATGAGTATATCAATGGTTTTTCCACAAATTTTTGTTTGCTTGATATATATTGCTGGACGTTGTTGTGTGCAAGAATAATATGATATGCGCATTATATGGAAAAGAACCTACATTGCACTTTTAATTCAGATCTTTTTCTAATAACTCTTCTGATTTTGTTTCTTGGTTCTATCTTGATGTGTTGAATGGACTGTGTCTGCGGCAATTTAATTTGAACAAGCTTCATTGTCTCATCGTATCAATTCTTTGAATGAGGTTCGTATAGATAGGTAGTCAAGTGTTTATAAATAAAAGGGAGTCATATTTGAAATTTAAATATCATTCTCTCTATTTAGGGAGAGAACACCACAGATTTGCAGATGATTTGTTCTACCGAGAAATCATACACATTTTTAAATATTTGGGTTGGGCCATGTCTTATCGTGTGCAATCATGGTTCTATCCCCTTCATTTCTCTTCTTTCTCTCTTCCTTAAGTTCCAAATAGATAAAATTAAATCTTAACAATTTAAGTTTATTTATATTTTTTCTTAAATTTAAGCGTCTCAATATTTTCATCAAATATTAAATTTGAAGCATCTCAATATTATCTAAGCAGTAAAATACTTCATAGGAGAAGCTGCATATGTTAGCGTGTGTGATTTAGTGCCTCATGCCATATCATCAGGTTCCATGTCCTCAAAGCTGTTGCGAGGGGGTATATACCAAGGTGAATTAATGGTATATTTCACTTCTTGATTCAATACCTTAATGTATGTTTAATAATATCTTTTAACTATTTCAGAGTACAGTGTTTGGTTTCACGTTGAAAACCACTAAAATCATGTATATTTAAATTAGATTCTTAACTATTTCGCATTTTGCACCTCAATATTTCCTTTTTGTTATAGGCTAATTCCTAAAATCAATAACTTCAATGCCACCAAACTAGTTTGGTAGATTATATTGAAATCATTCAACATTAGGTTTTAGAATCTAATTTCATTATTCTACATGTGTATTCTATACCCAACCTTGGCTTAACATTTTCAAGATTACAATTATATGCTTCCCCAAAGTTTGATGCTTTATCCATTCTTCGTCACCCAGCTGGTTAATTTCATCACAAATTATCTCATCCATTGATTCAATGTACATTGGCGAAATTTAATTTATTCTGATCAGAAGCATATATAAAAATGTCCAAAATTATTTGTGTCAGTAAAACAGATACATCCCCCCAAGAGGCAATGTGTTTGACTTTTTTTTTTCCCCTCTACCTGGAAATTTGTTCCCTCCTCGGTTTAATTTCGTGCCAGGTTAACTTTGTCTGGCATTACCACGCTACTTATATTATTGCTATAAGATAATCCTAGTATGATTACATTTTAACAGCCAACAGGTTTTGTAAATTTATATGTTCCCCGGGGCATTATTCTTTGTTGCGATAGTATGCCTTATTATTTGTATTGTCCCAGTTTAATTTGTGGTAATATAACCTAGCTACAAAGAGAGGAATTAATTAACTGTGCTCTTGTTCGTAGGTTAATATAATTAATTAACAGTAACAATAGGGGACGTCCTTCGACTGCGCGCTCCTGATATAAATATAGATTATAATAGATATGATTATCCATATTTTGATCTTGGCCTTTAAACTTTCAAGGCTGTCTATATGTATATCGTGTAATAATATGATCTATATATACAGAAATAAGACGCGTGTATAAGAATTTATCATGGCATTTATATTCTACAAATTAAAAATAATTATCTATAACTGAAACTATTACGAGATAGCTTCGTAATAAAAAAATCATAAATAAATATATCAGAGTTGAATATCTCTGGATTTCTTGACATACCAGTTGATATAATTGATGAAAGTAATAAATTGGCTTGCTTATGTAACGTGGAAATTAAATTAAACTAAACACACGCAATAGAAGACCTAATTTACAATTCAATAGCATGACTTGAAATTTTGTGCAAATATGCCAGGTCAGTTGAAGAGATAAAGAAATTATATATGTGTATGTATGTATATGGCTAATTTTAGAGGGAGATATATTAGAAAAAAACAATAATTTGAAAAAAATATTTAATTTGACTTCTCAGAAAGAATTATAAAAATTTACTAAAGGTTTAGTATGAACGCTAAATTTTTGCATTAATTTGTACGAATACTCTTCAAATAATTTAACTAAACTAAACATGAGTAATATACATATAATGTAAATATTTACTGTATTTTTTAATAAATAATGTGTTAATATGAGTCAATAGAAAATATTATTGTAAACTAATAAATCAATATGAAATATTATACATATGAGCGTGTTAATGTTAAAAAGGTATTTTTTGCCTAGGAGTTAAATCCACCTCCATTTCTCCTTATGAGTTTGTTTGTTTTTCTTTACATCTCATTGGCTAAAATGTATCTTTAGTCCTTTAATTTTATATGAGATTTTATTTTGGTTCTTTAATTTTAAATATTCATAAACATTCTCAAATATTAACATATTAAATTTATTTTTTTAAATAATAATAATTAACACAAAAATAATTAATTGAAACTAGCAATATTAAAGTTAAAAAATTAAAATAATATTTTATAAAATTAAATTAAAATTTTATAAAAATTAAAAGAGGACAAATATATACTTTAGCCTCTGTAATCCTATATATGACTTGTTTTATGTCCCCACCATGCTTTTGGCCCCACTCCACGTTAATTGCATTATATTCGCTAATCCCACAATCCAAGCCCCCCCCCCCCCCACAAAAAAATTCTTGACAAACATTCCGTACGACTAATCATGGACCAACAAAAATATTCTATCTCTGTCTCCAAATTATAAAATATTTTTTTAGAAGATTCAGCATTTTAAAATATAAAATTTTTTAATAAAAAAAATCCTATTAATAATATTCTTTAAGATTATCCTTCTCATTATATTTTTTATTTTAATATCCTTTCACAAATATAATGTTAAATGAAATATATTTTAAGAATTTTATATTTTTTTAAAAAATAAAATTATGAAATGTATTAAATAAATTTATTAATATGTATAATTTTATTTAAAAATATTTTATAAATTAAAAAGGAGGGAGTATTACATAAGTAATCCACCCGTCATCTCACTAGTTGATGTTGAGTCTTAAGATAAATTGATCTATTATTTATTTTATATCAATATACAATACATAACTTATACTTCCTCCCCTTTTCAAATAAAAAAATAATATTAAATTATCCCTGCAATTATTGAAACAAATTTATTTAATAAAAATAAACATTAACCTTATAAGTGACAATATGAAAAAAATATAATAAATACTTCTTAAAATTTATAATTTTGCTTATAAATAAAACTAAAGAGAAACATAGCAGTTTCTCTTATATTCAAAAAAGGAGTAAAAATTTATAACTTTATATACTATTTAAATATAATATATTGAGTAATTTTTATAATTATTTTTCACATATCCATACTTCATTTATTACCTTTTTTGAAAATATGATACATTAAAATTTTAATTATTATTATCAAAACACTTATATAGGATATTTAATGAGAGCAAAATTGAAAAAATATAATTTTTTTAAGAAATTAAAATTTCAATTAATATTTTTGAAAATTGTGAATTAATTACCAATATCATATATTTTGGTTGGGAGGGAATGTAGATAGATCATTATGACTAAAACTGGTAATTTGGGTTAGCCCAAACTTGCCCAAAAAACTAGGGATTGTCTTGGTTATATAAGCTTTTTTAAAAAGAATGTGGTATTTTAAACCCCGATCTAAATATGCTTGGGCACTAGAATTATTAGTTTTATATGTGTGTAGAGTTAGTAATTCAAGCCAAACTTGATAGGCCAACTCAAAAAAAGTTAAGCTGAGATTGACTATATAGGTTTTTAAAGGATAGGATACTTTAAATTCGTTCAAATTACCGGCTCTAATTATAATGTATAAAAAAACATGACTATAGTTAAAACTAATAAATTTTAGTATGAATTTTCATTTTCAAGTTACCTTAATACTTTGAAGAGTTACTCTAAAATTTTTAAATATAAAAAAATTTCTTCTCAAGCTTACTTGAAAAGTACATAATCTCCTAAACTTTACTTTCAATCAAGTTGCTCCATATATTTGGCAAAAAAAAAAAAAGTTGCTCCATATTAAAAAGGGATAATAGATCTTTTAATCCTTTAAATTTGTCTCAATTATTAATTTGTTTCTTCAAGTTTAATTTTTATCAATTTGATCTCTTATATTTTTTAAAATTATTTAGTCCTTTAAGTTTAAAAAAATAAATTAACTCTTAAAATAATCTAATGTAAAAAATATATTAATGACTTGACATATATAAATAGCTAAATAAAAATAAATTAATCCTCAAATCTGTTTAGTTTTTATCAAAATAACCCTTTAAACTGTATTTTGTCTTCTTATTTTTTAAAACTTCAAAGTCTATTTTTCTCTCACTTAAATAATTATACTCTTTTCATTAATTTACATAGTTGCCGTCAAAATTTTGTTACATATGTCAGCAAATTTTAACATAATTATCTCCTTTTTAAACAATAAATTGATAATTGAAATAAACTTAAATGATAATATAAAAATTATATTTAAGAGACTACATTGATAATTGAGACAAAATTAAAAAACTAAAAGTTATTTTATCTCTATTAAAAACTAGATCCCGATTGCCATAAGACTGAAACTGTGCCGTTATTATAAAC